CATGCTCTCCCCCGGGGCCTCGCCATCCGCCCTCGTCGTACGAGGCGCCGTCGAACAGCTCCGCCGCCCTCGTCTGGCCTCTCCTTCAGGGCTGATTCGCACAGCGTCCTCAGCAGCAGCTCCAGGCCCTCGGTGGTCGCCTTTTGTCTTATCGCCGTGCCGCCGCCCTTGCCTCCGGTCTCGTAGGCTTCCTCCACGCAGGTCAGCAGCTCCTCATGCCTCAGCGACCTCACCGAGTCGCACGGCGTGCCCGAGAGGCCATTCCTCAGGTTGACGGGAGTCGCGATCTGCTTCTCGTCGCCAGTGCGACCGTAGAACGCGTCCTTGGCCCGCTCCTGATACTCCTCGAACAGCGCAGGATCGTCGTCGTAGAGCGGAATGACCTTCTCGAAGGTGAGTCTTGATGCTTTTGCCATGGGGCTTCTCGGAGTTGCAGTGGTCCTGCTCGTGTGAGCAGCCGCTATCAAGCTCGCCAAAACTGAAACTGCACACGCGGCTGCTGCGCCGCGCTGCCGTAGTCGCCGGACTCCGCCCAGGTGTTCCGGCTTGAGCGGGTCCACCACAATCCGCGCCGTGGTGCCGAGCCTGCTCCCCGCAGGCTTGGCCAGCAGCCCCCGCCACGGGGCGCGGCTCGCAATCCCCCGCGCAGGCGGGCGGAGGTGGGAGCAGACCGCGGCGAACCGGTCCGCTCCGCTCACCATCAACTGGCGGGATGCCGCCCGCTCGGATATGAAAGTCTTTTGCCCGTATGCCCAAGAGTTCTTCAAGTCGAAACGTCAGTGACGAGACAGATGACGGCAGCAGCAGTAGCGAAACGTGGTGACAGTGTCGCCTATCCCTTAGGATTTCAACGGAGGAGGAGGAGGAGGAGGAGGAGGAGGAGCAGGAGGAGGAGAAGGAGGAGGAGGAGGAGGAGGAGGAGGAGGAGGAGGAGGAGGAGCGGGCAGGTACATTTGCCAGGCTCGGCGCAGCCGGGCTCGTTCGCGGCGGACCCGGCAGCACGTCTCTCTCGCCAGGCCGCGCGAGGGCCCAGTCGTCGCTGCGCGCGCGAGCGGCCCTTCTTTGTCCGGAGCAGGCTCGGGCGAGGCGGGCCCGGGCAGGTGCTGGCTGGGGCACGATCGCCCCGCCGGCTGTCTGTCTGCGCGCTCCCACTCACCGAGCGGCGTACACGGGCGCAGGCGCCTGCGCTGGCAGCTGCCCTCCTCCGCCGATCCTCCTCCTCTTTGTCCCCGCATCCTGCCCATCCCCGTGCTCATCCTCCCCCCTGTCCTCCTCCCTGTTATCCCAGCCTCCTTCCTAATTAGATCGTCGCCTTCATCGCCCTGCTCCTCGTCTTGCTTCTTCCGCTCCCCTTCCTCTTGCCCTCGTGCTCCGCGCCCATCCCCCTACACGTGCTAGAGGTCGGCCCGAGTGCGCTGGGGTTCCTGCAGAGCCTCACGCTCCCCGAACGCTCCCCGAAGACACGGCAGACTGCGGCGACGCGAGGGCGTGGCCCCCCAGCGAAGGTGGCGGATCTCCTGGAGAGCAGCGAGGCGTCGCAGAGGCAGTTGCGCCTCCAGATAGAGGCTCCGACCGCCCCCGCCCTCGTTGTCCTCGTCTTCGTCTTCGTCTTTCTCTACGCCTTCGTCGTCGTCGTCGTCGTTGTTTTCTTATCGTTTTTGTTGATTGTTTTTTTCATCCTCCTCACCCCCATCCTCCACCTCCCTCTTCTCCTCGTCCTCTTCTCCGTCCTCGTTTTCCTCTTATACTGCTGCTTCTCTCGTCCTTCTCCTCCCCCACTTTCCCTCTTCCCTTCTTGCCCTCCCCTCTCCTTTCACCTCTCACCTTTTCCCTCGTTCCCCCTCTCCCCTTCCGTCCCTTATTTCCAGTCTCCTATGTGCAGTTCGAACACTCTCCCTTCCACGGACACCGTGCTGTCGTGCCCCCGCCCCTCCAGTATACTGTCTTCACAGACGGGACATCCACCCGAAAAGATTTGTTTGACGTTCTTCGGACCTTTGAAGTGATGCTCCCGCTTCAGCCCTGGCCACATTTCAGGACGGGTGCACTGCTGCCGTCGTTCGAGATATCGCTGCTGCTCCAGCGCGAGCCGCACTTTAGATCCGATTCTCTCCCAGTCCTTGCTGCCCCGCTGTCCTCGTGCTTTCCCCTCCTCCGCTTCCCCCTAGTCTTCCTCCTGCCCCCCCTCTCAGTGTGAAAAAGCCTCCGTTGCCGATGGTACATCAAGCGCTGGGCCAAGTCCTGCAACTGCCCTTTGGGGACCAAGGCCTCTTGGAGTTCCCCGACCGGCAGATAGAACAGGCGTCATTGCAATCAGAGGGGATGCGTGTAATCTCGCCTCAGCGCGGGCCGCGTTCCAGGATTTGATCTTCTCTTCGTTGTTGCCATCCCTCATTTTCCCTTCCCCGCCTCCGCACTCCGGGGGATTTGCTGCTGCTCAGACTTTGCTCTCGTCTGCTGACTCCTCGAACGCTCGGGCGGCTTCCGCCCCAGCTGGCGACGACGACGACGACGACGACGACGACGACGGATGCGGGATGCTTGGCCGCTACAAATTGGCTTTGCAGTGCCTCATCTTTTCACCAGCACCATCACCAATCTGCATGGCCGTGGCTGGTTTCTTTCTTTCTTACCCGGGAACCCCCCCACCCCGAAATCGGACCTCCTGAATCCCGGCCCCCCGGGACCCCCGGATCCGTGGCGCCGGGGACCCCCTGGACGCCCCTGCAGGAGGCCCCACAAGCGTTTGAGAGTTTCTGGAAGCCCCTGCTGGGCCTAGGCAACGGACCCAAATCGGTCAGGAGAGCGGCCGAACGCCGCCCCGAGGGCCCCAAGAGGTCCCAGACACCCACGAGACGCCCGAAGACGACCCAAAGACGACCCCCAAGAGGCTTCCAAAGCGTTGAAAAACATTGATCTTCAAACGTTTTTTTGCATGATGTTGGAAATGCTCTGTTCTTCGGTCTTCTGGGCGTCCGAGACCGCCTGGGAGGCTCGAAGATCGCCCCAAGACCATCTGAAAGGGCTTCCAGACAGTCCAAGAGAGCCCCAAGACGGCATAACAGGTTTCCAAGATGTCCTAAGGGAGCCCCATGACGGCCCAAGATGGCGCCAAGACACCGTCCGAAGCATTCCAAATCGTGACCCGGTCGTTCAGGGACACCGCGGTTGGATGCGGGTGGCCCGAGGAAGCCCCCAGAGGCCCCCAGAAGACGCCCAGGAGGCCTCCAGAAGGCCTTAAGAAAGCTTGAAAAGTTTCCATGAGGCCCCCAGAGGCTCTCCAAGGAGGAACCTCCCGCAAAAGAAGCTGAGGAGGATGGGGAAGAATTCGCAGGGTGAGGAAAAAGAAACATGGAGGAAGGAAAACGAAACACATTATTATAACATTTCACATGGTCAGGAGGGCGTTCGGCCGCCATCCTGACCGATTTGGGCCCGTTGTCTAGGCCCAGCAAGGGCTTCCAGAAACTCTGAAACGCTTGCGGGGCCTCCTGCAGGGGCGTCCAGGGGGTCCCCGGCGCCACGGATCCGGGGGGTCCAGAGGGTCCCGGGGGCCAGGAATTCGGGGGTCCGATTTCGGGGTGTGGGGGGTTCCTGGGTAATACAAACATGCGAATGGGTATACATTGATATCTGAATATGTGTATGCATATGTACATGTAGAGGTGTATGTTTCTGTATATGTGTACGCATCTGCATCTATATATACATATATGCATGTATGCGTATATGTATAGGTGTATGCATACATATGTTTAGTTTTGCATGTTTATATGCAAGTACATGTTTATGTAACTTTCTACGCAGTCATATATGTATATATCTGCGTATATGTATATGTATATGTTTATGTATATATATGTATATGCATAGATATATGCGTATGTAAGTATACGACGATATATACATACATATATGTACGTGGCTATGCATCTGTATATGTATGTGTATGTGTACATACATGTGTATTGTATGTGTATATGTATACATGTATGTATATGTACACGTATACATTTATGAACATGCATGTGCACATGTGCATATATATATATATGTATTTGTGTATACATGTATACATATCTATATATGTGTGTGTATGCAGATGAACATGCAGTTGCATATGTACATAAATTCGTACACGCATATGTATATGTATATGTACATGTAGATGCATATGGGCATGTAGGTGTATATATTGTGGTTTGAGTCAGAGATGTCGAAGGCTGTGTGGACCCCTCCATTGGACCTAATCTGAAAGATCTAAGTCAGCACCCTCAGCCCAGGTCTCCACGGCAACTGCTTCTAAATGTTTGATGGCGATGTTCACTGGTATAGGGTATGGCTTGCCTCTCTTGTAGGGCAGATGCAGCTTGTCACGAATAAGCGAATCGATAGTCGTACACAATCGCTTCTCGAAGCGTGGGATTGTGGTCTCAAACTTTCGTTTTTCAGGCATGTGAACTATTGCAAGTAAGTTCGCTCAAGCCTTGAGCCAAAATGGTCAAGGATGTAATGTACAGCTGAGGTGTCGCCACACTCAGCCTATGAAGAGAGGTGTCGCCACGCTCACTTCCAAAGACGCTAACTCTACAGTGCTTCATTCGTTGCGCAAAATGTGTACGTTAGCTCAATCTGCGTCGTGCGCCTTGGAGGGGGGGCACGATCTGTCCGCCCCCAGGGGCGCAACAAAACGACACCACGGGAAGAAAAAACTGAAGTTAATGAATCCTCTGGTCGGGAACCGTTTGGTCCAGACCTCCCGCAGAGTCTCTGGGAGCCCAGGGGGGGGGGACAATTTGTCAACACCCCCCCCTGTGTTCAAATATCCCCGGGCGGGCCCGCAGAGGCCTTAAAACTTTGTGCGGAGACAACAATCCCACTTCGTGGGATAAACGTTCCGCGTGAATGATCTGGGATTTGTGCGCGTCAATGAAAACCACTAACCACACGCCTCCTCATTGCGCAAGCAAATCCTGGCATCTGATTCGCATCGCCCGCACCTACGAAACGCCTCTGATGGCATCCAAGGCTCCAGTCAACATGTCGCTCGGCCCACTGGCCAAAATGTCATCGACGTAGAGGGCCATGATGCATACCTTGGTGCCGTCCCGCTTGATATACACTGCGTCCACAACATCCGGAATGACAGTCCAGCCGGCTGCAGTGAGGACGCTGTGCGCCTTCTTGGCCCAATCAGAACCGGACCTCTGCAATCCGTACAAAGTCTTACGCAAACGCAACACGGGCTGCTTGTAGCCTTTCTCGGACCACCATTTCGGCCAAAGATTCGGAGGTAATACAATCCATACCGGCCGTCCTCCGAGCTGGGACTGAAGATAGGCGCCTGTCACATCAGCCTGCAAAAGCGTGTGTGTTGGAGACATCGTAGCCCACCAACACACCAGACGTACAGCTTCGAGACTGGTAGGTGCACCGTGCAAGTCCTTCTCCCTGTAGTGCCGGCCGTGCTGGTCAAGAAGACGGTCGCCTCCAGCAACAATACGCGCCTTCCACTTCAGGAGGTAAGCCTGCAGCGGATCCAGCACGTGGAGTCCGGAAGACTCCGTGTCCTTGCAGCCTAGAAGAAGATGGGCGTACATCACAAGAGCACCAGGATGCAGAGAACGAAGTTGCCATAGCACCATGACGGTGTCGTATGGGTCCCAAACCTGGAGCTCCTCCATCGTGGCCAACTCCTTCCAGACGGCGGCCTGAGCCTCCGGTGTCTGGGCGGAAGCGGATTTGAGAGGGACAGCCTTGTAGACCATGCAAAACCCCTTCACCGCCTCCTCAGACGAGGTGGTTCTCTCCCCCACCTTGCCGTTGATATGGCCGGCAGCTGAGGCGAGATTCTCAGGCTCGTGGAAGTCTGGGCCAACAGTAGATGGAGCAGGCACGACCGTGTCAGGTACAATCAACGTGCCAAAAACGATGTCGGCCACAGAATTCTCCTCCTCGCATGGTGGCAACGGGTCCACAAGGCACTGGACAACATCAGTTCCGACTGCATCAGCGCTCACGCAATGGCAACGTCGAAGGTTGCAAGTCTGGTCATTGCTGTGGACCTCCGACGTCTCCTTCTTGGTGACCCGCTTCCTAGGCGCACCTTCTATGGAGGCCTTGCAAGTCACGGGGTCGGTGGCGATGAACCCTGAGCAGGTAGCGCACCTGTCGCCGCGCGGGGCGTGCAGCTCAACGTCGTCGTCCGGGACCTGCTCGCACGGGAGGAGGAAATGCCATGCAACCTCGGGTTCCCTACTCTTGAGAAGATGACGCACGGGGAACTTCGGGCCGTGAGCTGGGAACTTGACGTCCCGCGTTCTTTTGAACAGCCTGCGACCTTCCTGGATGAACGGAGCGAGTCGCAAGATGATGAAGCTCCCCCGGGCGCCGTAGCCAACGACCACGCCGAAGTCGCCTCGTGGTTCGAACTTTGGGAGGTTGGTGATCGCCGAAGGCTTGTCCTTAAGATAATTGATCAAATAACCAAATGGCCTCAACTTCAAATCAGACGTACGATTGAATCTGTGAAAGTATGGAGATATACGGCAATCGTGCCCAACGCGATTCCAATGCTCAGTGCACATGACAGCGCTCATGGCATACCATTGGTGTCCAAGGCCGCTCTGACAAATCTGCGCGCACGCCCTCCTCGAGCGTCCGATGTCATCGTTCAGCTCTCGCGTAGTTGGTGGATCGACGAGGCAGGCCACGCTCGATATGAGTATCCGCACGGCGGCAGTGCGCCTCAAACCGACCTTGGAACTCGCAGCCCCAGTCAGGCCGTACCTTCTTGATCACGGAGTCGACGGTGAGCACCTTGTAAGCCTCCGTCACCGTGGAGCCCGTCTTGTCGGGCATGGGGTGTACGAAGGCGTAGTCAGTGGCCTCATCCCGCAACACGAGCAAGTACTTGAAGCCAGAAGTGTCCGGCAGCACCGGCCCGATGAGATCGGCGTAGAATCTACCACCAGAAAGGTCTCCCGCTCAGAACTCACTGCGCGCCGCGCCGGGGTCAGCGAGATCTTCGCAAGCTGGCAAATCTCGCAGTCGGGGTGCATGGGAAGATGAAGGAGCATGTGCTCCAGAGTGTGAGGCATATCCGGAGATACCCACACCCTGCGGGCACCCTGCTTGAAACCCTTGTTCGCCTTGTAGGCAACCACGGCCATCACCTGGCTGTCGTCTGATAAGATAACAAGTCCCATGAAGTGCACGTGCTTGAAATGGGCGTCCTTGGGTAGCGGTTTGGTCAACAAGTCCGAACAAGTCTCGTTGCCTTCACATGTTTGGAAGAGACCCCTGGCAGATGCAAAACGTCATAGACGAAGTGGATGCTGACGCGATGGACCTTCCTCAAATACCTCATGGCCTTGCTTCGCCCACTGGCAAATACGTGCTCGGCCACCTCAGCGTCGCCGCGCAACAGAGTGAGGATCGCCGCACCGTTGGGCGCGAACACGAACTCCAGCACGGATGTCAGTGGAAGGGCCAATCGTCTGAGTGCAACTGAAGCTGCTGCAACCTCCACTTCTCCAGTAGAGATTCCAGAAGACCGCATTTTCACAGCAAACCATGCAATGAGAGCTTTGGTGCCATGTTCTCCCATGATGAAGCTCAGTGCGCCTGAAATGGATTTACTAGTCTCCTTATCTCCTCCGTGATCGGAGTCCGCGAACGTCTCCGAGGTCATGCGGTGGGCGTCTCTCGCGTCACCGGTACGTGTTGAGGTAGGACATGATGCAGATGATGGCTACGTCGCATAGCGTTGACCAGCGCGTAACAAAAGATCCCAAAATTGATAAGCCGACAGCAAGTTCAGGCCGAGTGCACCGCATCAAACACAAGAGCATGCCAATCAAACGAGCTGCCAACTTCGCATAAGCCCCCTCCTGATCAGCACCGTCGCCAATACCCCATACACATACCGAGTCATGACATGGCGTCTGCTTCTTGCGCAGGACAAGGTCGGGGCTGACCTCGAGGAAGTACTTGGGGATGTGACGAACGTACTTGTGCTGTGGCAGAGTACACGTACGTGAATGGCCCACTGGCGCACTCAAATTGATGTCGATACCTAAGAAATGGTGTGCGACAACAGGCTTGTCCATGATCAGAGTCTGCGACTCGTCGTCCTCTACCACGACCCCTGGCAGTGGTGCTTCGCGAGTGTCCGACTGGCGTGGGGCACGGTCCCCATCTTCCATGACCTGGGCAATGCAGGCGGTTTGGCCTACATTGTGAGGTGGACAAAACATGCCGTTGAGCTGGATGCACTCATCCTGGTGGCTGCTGTCCGTGGCGTAGTTGTGGCTGCCGAACGAGCACTGGTCCACGCGCAGCTCCTGGTGCGGGGCATGGTCCCCATCTACCACTACGGAGCTATCGGAGAATGACGGGCAGCACACTGCCACGTCAGATGGGCAGTAATGGCTACCCAATTTGCATGCTTTGGCCGATGCTGCCAAGAATGGACAGTCAGCTTCGACATGCACACTCAGCGGAACACCTTCCACTGTTGTCAGGACGGGGTTTTCAAGGTCGCGCCACGACCAAGAGAAGTCCAGCTTCAGGTCCTTGATCAATTTCCCTAAGCTGGCAGCCGTAGGCGCCCCGGGAGCAAAGTGAGCTTGCAGAGGTCCCACCTGGTTGAAGGCGGACTCGCCTGTAGCCGTGGCAACCTCCACTGCAGCAGTGGGCGAAATGCCGGCCTCGCCCACTTTGCCCGTGAAGTGAAACGTTGACCCAGAATCGAAAAGCACATCGGTAGACTGCATGGCTGCCAGCGTGCGCTCGCACCCGTAGGCCTTCCTGACGGCAGCCTGGGCAGTCAAGTACCGCTGAAACTCGGCAACCTGACTGTCGATCATAGCCGAAGCCGCTTCCTTGCGACGGCGGAGGCAAAGAGGTCATAGGAGGTACAGCGCCTCCTGGGGCCGCCAATGCAAGAGCACTCGGATCAGTCACCAATGCCCCCGCCTGCGTGGTGGACTTCGGTGGCTTGTACTTGGGGCTCTGCGGGTTGTGGAAGCAATCCTTCGCAAGATGTCCCTTTTTTTGCAGTGCTCGCAATGGCGAGTTAGCTGCCAACATTCCTCCTTGGAGTGCCCCTTCTTGTGGCACTGGGGACAAATCTGGTCCTTCTTCCCATGTGCTTTGCTGGGTGCTTTGGTGTTGGGGGTCTTGCTGAGACCCGCTGCTGCCTTTACTTTTGGTGGTCTGGTAGCGGCAGCTGCCCGGTGTTCAACGCAGATTCGCTCAATATTCTTCATCAAGTGGTGCGTCCCAATGTCCGGCATCAAATCGTACGCTGCGAACGTGGGAGCAAGTCTATGGTTGGATTCAAACAAAGACCGAAGAATGGACAAGATGAAGGCATCAGTCGGCATCTCAGGGCTACCCCGGAGCTCCATCAAGATGTTCTTAGGCTTGGTGAGCGTCGCTTCTGCCTGCCCGATGTCGTGCACGGGCTTGGTCATCTCGCGAAGAGTCGCCAAAGCTATCTGACGACGTCGGGGTCCTTGATGGAGATAGTCGCCATCAATGAAACGCAAAGCTTGTCGTCCACAGCCAGGCTGGCACAGCTGGCGGATGGCGCCGAGTATCCTAGTGGAGTCCTCGCAAGGCTTGGCAACCAACAGATGCACCAACGCGTTGAAGAGCTTGGCGTCGATGGATGCCATCGCCGGAGGCCTGTCCGTGAACAGCATGTCGTCTCTGAAGTACGGGTTGGCCACGTCGTCCATGAACGGGCCTACCAAGTGAGGCACCGAAGAGGCCGCGAGAACATTGGCATGGACGCTGTAACGCCACTGGGTATAATCAGGATGACTTGGCAAGGAAGGAATGACAACTCTGTCCGCCTCCCGGTTGACCACGCTCGGAGGCTGACCAGTGGTGGGCGCAGCCTTTGCGGCTACAGCCTCAGGAAGCTTCATCACCACGTCCACGGGTATCGATGCAGGAGCGTGCTGCTCCACGGGCTGCTGCTGCACTGGGTGCTGCTGCTGCTGCTGCTGCTGCTGCTCGCCGTGCTCGGAATCACCCTCAGCATCTCCTGGAATGGGCAATTCGGCCAGATCTGTCGGAGCAGCATGCGGCTCTGCCCCCGAAGCCTCTGCTGCGACGTTCGCCGTGGCGGCGCGCTGAAGAAACTGCTGAAGCATCTCCGGCGTCAATGTCATCGCAGGTGCTGGTGAGGATGCCTGCAATGGCGGCGTGTAGAACGGCGTGGCATCCTTCGGCGCTGGTGGTGGGTAACAAGGGGCTCGGCCAGGTAGCATAGGGTTAAGTAGACTCGATGCCGTAGACAATGCTGTCCCCACGCCACGTGCCGCACCCACCGATGCCCCAGCGACTGCTGAGCCAAGTGCTCCTGCACCCCAGGCTACATCCATTGATGCTCCAGCTACTGCCGCACCAACGCCTGTAACGCCATCGGCCGCGCCCCGTAGAATGTCGCCGGCGTGAGGCCAAGCAGGCTGGTACGGATGCGGCGCCGATAGTCCTGGGAACAGTCCCTGCGGTGCCATTGGGGGCGGAGCCTGGGGCACCACGGCATACGGAGCGGCTGGCAGCTGCCCGTCGGCGCCTGCCCACAGAGGCGGCCGTAGGTGCTGCTGCGGCGGGGGCGGCGCGGGCAAACTCAGCTGCAGCCCAGGGGGCATGCCGTGCAAACTCTGAGATGGCCCCGGCAGCGCCTGCTGCGGCACAGGGGGCAAAGCCGGCAGGCCAAGCGGCTGCTGTAGATCAGCGCTTGACTGAGCGCTCTGAGCTGCGTGTTGCGCCAGGTACCTGTCCAACGCCTGATCTGCGGTCAAACCCGCAGGGGGTCCAGGTGCGTGGTACTTGGGCTCATAACCTGTGGTTTGAGTCAGAGATGTCGAAGGTTGTGTGGACCCCTCCATTGGACCTAATCTGAAAGATCTAAGTCAGCACCCTCAGCCCAGGTCTCCACGGCAACTGCTTCTAAATGTTTGATGGCGATGTTCACTGGTATAGGGTATGGCTTGCCTCTCTTGTAGGGCAGATGCAGCTTGTCACGAATAAGCGAATCGATAGTCGTACACAATCGCTTCTCGAAGCGTGGGATTGTGGTCTCAAACTTTCGTTTTTTTTCAGGCATGTGAACTACTGCAAGTAAGTCCGCTCAAGCCTTGAGCCAAAATGGTCAAGGATGTAATGTACAGCTGAGGTGTCGCCACACTCAGCCTATGAAGAGAGGTGTCGCCACGCTCACTTCCAAAGACGCTAACTCTACAGTGCTTCATTCGTTGCGCAAAATGTGTACGTTAGCTCAATCTGCGTCGTGCGCCTTGGAGGGGGGGCACGATCTGTCCGCCCCCAGGGGCGCAACAAAACGACACCACGGGAAGAAAAACTGAAGTTAATGAATCCTCTGGTCGGGAACCGTTTGGTCCAGACCTCCCGCAGAGTCTCTGGGAGCCCAAGGGGGGCGACAATTTGTTAACACCCCCCCTGTGTTCAAATATCCCCGGGCGGGCCCGCAGAAGCCTTAAAACTTTGTGCGGAGACAACAATCCCACTTCGTGGGATAAACGTTTCGCGTGAATGATCTGGGATTTGTGCGCGTCAATGAAAACCACTAACCACATTTATATATATATATATATATATGTACATGTGCATGTACATGTGCATGCACACGTACCTGTATATGCATATGTATATGCATATGCATGTATGTGTATATGATTATATTTATCTATATGTATTTGTATATGTATATGTGTATGTATATGTACAGACACATCTACATATTCACATGCACATGTATTTGTTTATGTAGTTGTACACGTATATATATATATGTCTATTTATGTATATAGATGTATGTATCTATATGTACATGAATATGCATATGTAGATGTACATGCACATGTATATGTGTGCGCATGTGTGCATGTGCTTGTATTTGTATATGTATATATAGATATGCATATGTATATGCATATCTATATGCACATGCATATTTGTATGTCAATGTACATGTACGTGTACATGTACAGTGTATGTACATGTATATGAATATGTGGTTCATATGTATATGTCTATTTGTAAGTAAAAGTATCAGTATAACAATATTTGTATACGTAAATGTAAGTGCACATGTATATGTATATGTATATGTATAGGTAAATGTATATGTCTATAACATGCACAGTGTTTTCTATGTCTACACACATAATATAAAACAAATCCGCCTCCCCCCGGCCCCTGGTCCCACAACTCCCCGGAACATCTCGGAGACGCTCCCGGTACCGCTCCCCGGGCCTTTCCCGGGAGCCTCGACAGCGCCCGGGGCCCAAGACGCCTCCCAGGAGCCCCCAGAAAGCGAAAGGATGGTCCAAGACGCTCCCAAGCAGCCCACGTCCGCCTCCCGACGGCTCTCGAGGCTCCCAGGTGGGCCCCACGAGACCCCAAGAGAGGTTCGAGAGGCGTCCCAGGACGGCCCGAAAGGGTCCAAATCGTAGATTTTCAGTGTTTTTCTTGAATGTTTTGGCTTCTCGCGTTTTCGAGCTTCCAATGGTCCAAGAGCGCCGAAGAGGCTCCCAAGACCGCCCCAAGACCACCCAAGAGACCCTCAGGACGGCCCCAAGACGGGCCAAGAAGGCTACGAGACTGCCGAAGAGAAGCCCAGGACAGCCCCAGACCACCCCAGAACAGGCCCAAGATGGGCCCAAGAGCGGGAGCAGGAGGCTTCCAGAGACCTCCGAGAGGCCTCCGGGACCATCCAGAGGCCCCCAAGACACCTCCGATCCCTGAGAGGCCCCAAAAAGACCTCGACGAACAGCCCAAGAGAGCTGCGAGAGCCGTCCCGAGAGAGCGCACGGAGGGTAAGATCGTTGATTTCCAATGTTTTTTCCAGTGTTTTCCGCCTTCTCAATTTTTCCGCTTCCAACCCTCAAAGGTCGAGGATTTTGAAAAAAATGGGAATTCCCATTTTTTAATTTTTTTTTTTTTCTGTTCCAGAGTGGGACTCCTACTCGGGGTTCCTACACATCCCCTGACATCTGGCCGGTACCGCGCCTCCCGGCTTCTTGAGGGGACCCCAAGACGCTGAAGGACAGCCCATGACGACCCCAAGAAGCTCACAGAACGTAATGAGCGGCCCAAGACGCTCCCAAGCAGTCCAAAACACCCTGTGGACGGCTCTCCACGCTCCCAGGAGGCTTCCAAAAGGCCCCAAGAGAGGTCCGAGAGGCGTCCCGGGAAAGCCCGAAGAGGTCCAAATCGCCGATTTTGATAGTTATTTTCGATGTTTTTGGCCTTCTTTCGTTTTCGAGCTTCCAACGGTCCAAGACCGCCCCAAGACCGCCCAAAAGACTCCCAGGACGGGTCCAAGACGGGCCAAGAAACCCCCAATATTGCCGAAGAGGCGCCCGGTACCGCGTCCCCCGGCCTCCCGGGGAGCTCCCAAAACGTTCCAGGACTCCCCAAGACAGCCCCAAGAACCCCTTCAGAATGCAAAAGAGCAGCCGAAGATGCTCTCAAGCAGTCCGAAACAGTCTATGGACGGCTCTCCAGGCTCCCAGGAGGCCTCCAGACGCCTCCAAGACACTGCAAGAGAACTCCGAGAGACGTCCCGAGAGAGCCGGGAGATCAACAATAATCATTGAATTTCAATGTTTTTTTCAAAAGTTCATGTTTTTCTCAATTTTTCATGCTTCAACGCTCAGAGACGACCGAAGAGACACCCGAGACCGCCCCAAGACCGCCCAAAAGCCTCCCAAGACAAGCTCAAGACGGGCCCAGGACGGGCCCTCTGCCACAATGCCCCCTGGCCATCTCAGAGACCGACCCGAGCAGCCCCGCTCGGAAGCACTCTTCAGCCACTCTGGAGCTATCGTTGAGGTTCAAAGGGCTCAGTCTTGAGCCCTCTCTTCGGGGCTCCTTGGGTCCTCCCCCGAACTCCTACTCGGAGATCCCACACGTCCCCTGACATCTGGCCTGTACCGCGCCTCCCGGCTTCCCGGGGGGCCCAGTAAGACGCCCAAGGACAGCCCAAGACGACCCCAAGAAGCTCACAGAACGTAAAGAACGGCCCAACACGCTCCCGCGCAGCCCGAGACACCCTTCCGACGGCTGTCCAGGCCTCCAGGAGGCTCCCAGAACCCCCAGGGGGTCCGGAAGATCCCACACCCCTGCGGGGCCAGGCTAACAAAATCCGATCCGCGAGGCACAAACAACAAACAGCGCCGAACAGCGCCGAGGAACTGGAAAAAACGGAAATGCCACAATCTCTTTTCTTTTTTTCCAAGTTTGGCCCCCGGTCTACTAGTGCACAACAAACCACAATTGAGACCCCCCTCACCTCCCAAAAAAGAACACAGAAAGCCTTTGAGGGCCCCAAATCGTTGAACACCCAACGGAAACTGATGATTTATGCGTTTCCGAACTTCCCCTTCTATACGATTCCGAGGCTTGCGCAGGGCCTCCAAGGGAGTCCCTGGACGCAAGAAGTGACCAACACGATATTACAGGAGTTGGCCTATCAAGCCTAGCTAGAACTTGAGCGCGCGAAGTGCGCGCGATGGTTCTAGTATGTATGTATGTATGCATGCATGCATGCATGCATGTATGTAAAGTATTGTAATGTAATGTAATGTGATGTAATGTAGTGTAGAGTATTAAATTTGTAATATACTGTAATGTCACGTAATGAAATTTAGTGTCATGTATTATCTTGTAATGTAATGCAATGTTGTGTAGTGTAATGTAATGTAATGTAATGTAATGCAACGCAATGTATTGTGATGTAATGTAATGTAATGTAATGTAATGTAATGTAATACAATGCAATGTAATGTAATGTATTGTAATGCAGTGTATGTGTGTGTGTGTGTGCATGCATGTATGTATGTATGTATGCATGCATGTATGTTTGTATATATGCATGTATGTATGTGTGAAATGTATGCATATATGTATGTATATATATGTATATATACACATATAGTACTGTCTGTCTGTCTGTCTGTCTGCATGTATGTACGTATGCATGCATGCATGTATGTATGGATTGATGGATAGATGGATGGATGGATGGATGGATGGATGTATGTGTGTATGTGTGTATGTCTGTATGTCTGTATGAATCTATGCATGCATCATGCATCATGCATGTAGGTATGTAGGCATGTATGTATTTATGTATGTATGTGTGTATGCATGCATGCATGCATGTATGTCTGTCTGTCTGTCTGTCTGTCTATATGTATGTATGTATGCATGCATGCATGCATGCATGCATGGATGTATGTATGTATGTATGAATGAATGAATGAATGAATGAATGAATGAATGAATGTATATAGATATGTATATCTATATATATATATATATAGATATGTGTATGTATATATGCATATACACATATATATATATATATATATACACATACACTCATCTAACGGGGGACAGGGCCCGGGGGGCCCCGGGCCGCGACCCCGACAGCAGACGTGTGTGCCAGGGGCCGGGCTAGCTTTTGGGGGGCCCACAACCGTTCCTGAGAGCCGCCGGACATCCGTCGCGGCTGCCCCAGAGGGCCCAGGGGACTTCGACGGCCCAAGATGCGTCTCAAACGGTCCGTACAGTCGAGTAAAATTAGTAGGTCGACCCTGTCCAAGCAACGGTAGCCTTGTGTCCTGTGTTTCGCGACCCATGTCCTCTACGTTCCACTGGCAATGTGGCCATCGGACGAGTCTTGTGCCCTCTCGCGTGCCCTCTCCAATCCACCCCGCCTGTAGCCATTCTTGCTCAAGTTTGTGTTTCGTTTTCCTTTGTTGTTGTTGGTCCGCGCGGCCTTGCTCGTTGGCGTCGGCCCTGCCAAGGATGGCGAGCCCCGTGGGCGTCCGGCTGCTGGCCCTCGGCGAGCAGCTCAGGAGGCCGAGGCCGGTGCTGGCGTGGGCGGAAGCAGCCAGCCCGACGGCCGCTCTGAGGCCGAGGCAGTCTTCGCTTCCCAGGATTCAGAGGATCTGAAAAGGTGCCTATACCTCTACCCTCCCCTCGTTCTGCACTTTTCAAACTTTTCGGGCCTCCTGGACCTCCCTCGTCGCCACCGCTGGATTCGCTTCGAAATCCTGGTCAGAAAGCGCCCCGGGAGAGGTCTGGGGAGCAGCGGCATCGGCACCTCTTGGCTTCCCCCAAGGATGGCCCGCGGGAACCCTTGCGCGGGCTTGGGGCTCCAGTGCTCCGTGCTGGGCAGGCCGTCCGCCGGCCGTGGGGGCGCCGCGCCGGGCTTCGGCGTCCTCGGCCCCGGCAGGTGTCGCAGGCCCGATGGCCTGAGGCTTCCCGGGTCTCTGGCTCCGTGGGCTCGCGACCTCCCCGAGCTGCAGAGGCTCGTCACGCGGGCCGCCGAGCCCCGCCCAGGCAGCGGGACCTCGGGCCAGCCCCTGGCCGAGGCGCTCACGGCGCCCGAGCTGCTGGGAGTGGAGCTGGCCGCCAGCGAGGCCACGAGCGACGAGACGAGCGACACGGAGTCCAGCGACACGGAGTCGAGCGGCACGGAGCCGTCTGCGGACCTCTCCCAGCGGTCCCCGAGCCCTCCCGAGGCGGGCCTCGGGCTCCGTCGAACGGGCACGATCGCCTGCGACGAGGACGAGCGGCGCTCCCCTCGACGACCGCACGCCTGGCCGACCTCGGCGACCGCGAGCCCCTTCGGCCGGGGCGTCTGCCGCAGGGCGCCGCACCTCGACGAGAGCCAGAGGGCCCCGCGCGCCGCGTCCCTGCAGCAGGCCGGCAGCGAGCCAGCGCCCACGCGCCCGCGGGGGGAGGCGCCCGGCGGGGCCCGCCCCGGCTACGCCGGGAGGTCTCTAGGCCTCCTAGATGGGGTCGGAGTAGATGGGGCCGGAGGATCGCGCCGCATCGCCGAAGCATCGCCGATGCGGCTCGATGTGCAACCCGCTGTGCTTCACGTCAACGTCGCCGATGCATCCCCGACGTCGACGATGCGTCGCCGGTGCATCGCCGACGCATCGCCGATGCATCGCCGATGTATCGGCGATGCGGCGTGATCCTCCGACCCCATCTACTCCGACCCCATCTGGGAGGCCTCTAAGGTCGCTGTCGGCGAGGGGCAGCAGGCCCCCGCGCTCCCCGGGCGCCTGCGAGGCCCGGGCCCGGGAGGTCCACCCGCGGGGCACGCAGCCGGCGGCGGGGCGCCCGGTGGCCCGCGCCCGCACCGTCTGCGACGGGCTCGCCGCGCCCCGCTGAGAGAGAGAGAGAGGGCCTGCTGCGGCGCAGCGGGGCCAAGTGCCGCATGGGGGCTGGCTCGTGTCGGGGGAGGAGTGGGGATGTGGTCGGGGAGGGGGCTGCGGTACCCGCTATTTTTTTGAGCGCCTTGTGGAGGGTCTTCGTCGGTTCAGTCCGACCAGCTTTTGGAGCCCCTGCTTTTTCCAAAGCGTTCTCCTGAACGGTCCAAGCTCCTTCCCTGGCTTTTACCTGGCGTGCAGGCCAGTGTGCAGCGTCGACCGTCCAGGCGGTCCAGGCCGTGCAGGCGGGTGTGCAGCATCGGTTGTGAGTTTGCTGCGTGGCGGTGTCCCCTTCCCACAATTTGGTCGGTGGCTCGCGCCCGCCCTGATGATTGCGAGGGGCCTGCCCTGAGGGCCCGCCCTGCCCCGAGCGTGTGGTCATCCATCAGTTTTTTTTGGGGGGCCCGGCGCGTTTAGCGCCATGGCACAGGTTTCACCCCCTCAAGCTGAAGCGCAGCTGCGCTCTGGTTCGGGAGCGTCGCCGCACCCTACGGGAGCATGGCCACACCACTCCGCATTATCTGTCCATCCCCCACACCTCTTGCAACTCCACTACTCGACATGCCGTTCGTGCTATTGCGCGTGTTGTCGACAAGCCTCGGCAGTGCCAGCTTTAATGATTGAGGGAGTTGCCTGTGCCACTCTAGTCAACAATATGCGGTGTTGTTTTCAAGTCAAAGCTTCGAGTGCTGATGGCCCATGGCGGTGCAGCATGGCGCAGTCCGTTCCGCATCAGTTGTGAAGCGGGCTGGTCTGCACTACACTGGACTCATCATCCTCCCTCGCTGGTCCTCGCCCTACGGAGTCAACACGGATCTCGCAGGCACGAGCGGATTTCTCGGATCAGCGTTGGAGCCCCAAGTTGATGACACCGTGCCGCGTGCAGACTTCAGAAAGTTCAGGCCGCGGTCGGGCAGCAAACGACTGCACCGGCCCCCGTGCAACGCAGCGCACGGCATGTTTGTCCCCGTGGTTGTTGTAGTCATTCGAATTCAGCCGGTGCAACATATGTCCATATGTCAGTTTAAGTCGTGCGCCAGGTTTTTATCGTTTTTTCGTCAAGGAAATTTGCTAGACATGCATTCCCTTCGATTTTCCACGCGTCCGTCTGAATGCTCGGTTGTTAGGGTGCGTATGCCAGCGTCGTGTCCAGGTAGCTCTATGATACTACTCGGAATCGTCCCAAAAGCTTCCAGCACACTAACAGGATCTTGTTTTCACATCAGATGGGAAGCCTACGTGCGTCTGTATCTTGCCAATGCATAGCGTTGGTACTGATGCGACGGTTCGCTAATGTCCAAAACCTGTTGAAAATGATGATCCCCCCCCTCCCCCCCCCCGGATCCCGTTTGCCAGTAATTCGCCGCCGATAAATCATTTTTAAACAGCCCCCCCAAAAAATTCCACGGGGACCGGACGATGCGATTGATAAATGCACACATGTATGTTTGTATACATATTTGCGTATACACGCACACACGCGCAAGCACTGGCATATGCGCATGAACTCATGAACTGTACTTATGTCGACGAGTAGATAGTTTTCGTCTTACTGGGACACTGTACGTACGTACTCGCGCGACTGCGCGCGTGCGCGCGGTGGCGTCCAGATCTCGCGCGCGGTGTGAGGCTGATTGGCCTTATGGTGGCTCCCAGTATCCCAAAGTTACCATTGTTTTTTTTATCACGCGGTTTCGGGGGTGCTACGTGTCACCCGTAGTTTTGTTGTGAGGCTGAATGGCCTTACGTTGGCTTCCAGACTCTTAAATTTACAAGTCGTTTTCCTCCCACGGTCACGGGGGTGGCACGTGTCGTCCGCTGTTTTTTGTGAAGCAGAATGGCATGATGTTGACTCACATTTTTTTTTCAGACGGTTTCGGGGAAGACACGTGTCGCCCGGTGGTTTTTGTGAGGCTGAATGGCCTTATGTTGGCTCCCAGACTCCCAAAATTACAATTGGTTCTTCTCACGTGGTTTCGGGGGTGACACGTGTCACCCGTTGTTGTCGTGAGGCTGAATGGCCGTATGTTGGCTCCCATAATCTCAAATTTGCAATTCGTTTTTCTCACATGGTTTCGGGGGTGACGCGTGTCACCCGTTGTTTTTCCCCAACCCTCTTTGATTGGGTATTCGTTTTGAATAGAGCACTGCTCGCGCGTCTTTTCTTCCTTCCTCCCGCCTCCCTCTTGTCTCCTCTTGCCTTGTGCGTACCTCTTGTGTGTGCATATTGCCTGCGGTACCTCTTGTGTGTGCATCTTGCTTGGGGGGCTGCGATCTGTGAAACTGTTGCCACTCTCGAGGGCTGCTGGGGGGGACAGCATAGTGGGTAGCCGCCGCAGATCAAACTTAGACCTCGTCATCCTGGGGGGCGGCTGCGATTTGCGAAGCTGTCGCCACTTTCGAGGGCTGCTTGGGGGGGGGCGGCAGCATAGTGGATAGCCGTCGCAGATTTTAGTAGACCTCGCCATCCCTGGGGGGCTGCGATTTGCAAAGCTGTCGCGACTTTCGAGGGCTGCTTGGGGGGCCAGCATAGTGGGTAGCCGCCGCAGATCCAAATTAGACCTCGTCATCCCTGGGGGGCTGCGATCTGTGAAACTGTCGCCACTTTCGAGGGCTGCTTTGGGGGGCCAGCATAGTGGGTAGCCGCCGCAGATCCAAATTAGACCTCGTCATCCCTGGGGGGCTGCGTCTTCCGAGGGCTGCTTGGGGGGCCAGCATAGTGGGTAGCCGCCGCAGATCCAAAGTAGACCTCGTCACCCCTGGGGGGCTGCGATTTGCGAAGCTGTCGCCACTTTCGAGGGCTGCTTGGGGGGGCCAGCATAGTGGGTAGCCGCCGCAGATCCAAATTAGACCTCGCCATCCCTGGGGGGGGGGGCTGCGATTTGCGAAACTGTCGCCACTTTCGAGGGCTGTTTTGGGTGCCAGCTATAGTGGGTAGCCGCCGCAGATCCAAAGTAGATCTCGCCATCCCTGGGGGGCTGCGATTTGCGAAGCTGTCGCCGCTTTCGAGGGCTGCTTGGGGGGCCAGCATAACGATCTGCAAACCTGTCACCACTTTCGAGGGCTGCTTGCGGGTCCAGTGGAATGAGGCACCGCGCAGATCTGAGCGGGACCTCGCCGTCATTGGGGCGCTGCGATCTGCGGAACCGTCGCTACTTTCGAAGGCTTTCGAAGGTTGGTGGCAGGTCCAGCGGAGTGAGGCACCACGCAGATCTGAGCGGGACCTCGCAATCCTGGGGGGGCTGTGAGCCTCACCCATGCCGCTCGTAGAAGTATATGCGCCCATGTCATGTCATCACCTCCGTATAACATCTCCCAAGCTACTCATGCCCCGCATTGCGCAGGGTGGGTACGTCGCTGGGGTAATTTTGCGAAGTTGGATGGCCTGGTTGTTTCCTAGTATCACAAATATGCAACTCGTTTTTATCATTTCGGGGGTGACTTGGTTGGGTATTCGTTTTGAATAGGGCACTGCTCGCGCGTCCTTCCTCCCGCCTCCCTCTTGTCTTCTCTTGCCTTGTGCGTACCTCTTGTGTGTGCATATTGCTTGCGGTACCTCTTGTGTGTGCATCTTGCTTGGGGGGCTGCGATCTGCGAAACTGTCGCCACTTTCGAGGGCTGCTGGGGGCGACAGCATAGTGGGTAACCGCCGCAGGTCCAAATACGACCTCGCCGTCCCTGGGGGGAGCTGCGATTTGCGAAGCTGTCGCCGCTTTCGAGGGCTGCCTGGAGGGGGGGCAGCATCGTGGGTAGCCGGCGGATATCCAAAGTAGACCTCGCCATCTCTGGGGGGCTGCGATTTGCGAAGCTGTCTCCAATTTCGAGGGCTCCCTGGGGGGGCAGCATAGTGGATAGCCGCCGCATATCCTAAGTAGACCTCGCCATCCCTGGGGGGCTGCGATTTGTGAAACTGTCGCCACTTTCGAGGGCTGCTTGGGGGGGTCAGCATATTGCGTAGCCGCCGCAGATCCAAAGTAGACCTCGCCATACATGGGGGGCTGCGATTTGCGAAGCTGTCGCCACTCTTGAGGGCTGCTTAGGGGGGGCCAGCCATAGTGGGTAGCCGCAGCATATCCAAATTAGACCTCGCCATCCCTGGCGGGGGGCTGCGATTTGCGAAACTGTCGCCACTTTCGAGGGCTGCTTGGGGGCCAGCATAGTGGGTAGTCGCCGCAGATCCAAAGTAGACCTCGCCATCTCTGGGGGGCTGCGATTTGCGAAGCTGTCTCCAATTTCGAGGGCTGCTTGGGGGGCCAGCATAGTGGGTAGCCGCCGCAGATCCAAATTAGACCTCGCCATCCCTGGGGAAGGCTGCGATTTGCGAAACTGTCGCCACTTTCGAGGACTGCCTGGGGGGCCAGCTATAGTGGGCAGCCGCCGCAGATCCAAATTAGACCTCGCCATCTCTGGGGGGGGGGCTGCGATTTGCGAAGCTGTCGCCCCTTTCGAGGGCTGCCTGGGGGGCCAGCATAGGGATCTCCGAACCTGTCACCGCTTTCGAGGGCTGCTGGTGGATCCAGTGGGGTGAGGCACCGCGAATATGGCGTAATTTGCTATGGATGATGGCCTCGGGGACACGAAAATCAAGTATTTGTAAGTGTCTCACGACCCCCCGGGAATTCAGACAACGGGATTCGGGGACGCTAGCCAGGTCGCTTTTCGGCTCCCCCCCGTCGCGCGTTCAGCAACAATTAACAGTAAGGAAGCAGAAAGCAGGACCGTAACAGTGGAGACTGGAAACTGCAACTGGAACAGGGAGCTGCAATCCTCACCCTCGCAGCCTGGTGGCCCTGCAAGGGGGCAGGCGGATACATATATATATATATATATATATATATATATATATAAAAAAAGGCCGCAACCGCACTGGCCCAAATCGCCCCCGTTGGGGGGGGTCGCAATGCCCCCCGCGTCTCTTTCAGAGATTCGTTCGAATATGGCTTGATGCGCGGCCGAGCGCTG